GGGGTGGGGGAAGCAATCCGGAATGGGAATAATCAGCTGTCCCTTCTCCACATCAGTCTCTCCATCTGTGCAGAAAGCTGGTTGAATTATATGGCCCTTCCTGGCTTGGACAGAAAGTCTAAGATCCTGTATTCCAACGAAGCCAGAAAGTCTCCAACAAGGAAACTCACTTTGGGTCCTGCTATGTAAGAAAAGACAATACTGACACCCAGTGGTCCATTAACCAGCTCCCATTTGATGTCCTAAAATTCCTGAGGATTGCTGGGTACTCAGGCTCAAACAGAACCTTCGCCATGGCCTGGAGACACAAGACAAAAGACCACCAAAAGGGAATGACAGTAAAACAAAAAAGTAGCATGCTTTGTTGGCTAAACCCTTCTGATGGAGATGTGGCTAAATCTTGGTTTGGCTCAAATATATGCATTATATCAAAAGCATTTGTATTCAACAATGTATTTCTCCCACATAATGCAAACAAATAGGCTTTTGAAAATGCAAGACTTATTTCCCAGGAGGTAAAAGCCTAAACACCCTGAACTGTTCTATAATGATTTCTTTGGCTTATTAATTAGTCTTCTAAGCCCTGAAAAGTAAATGATAAATATCTGAGACTATGAGGACAGGGACTCTGTTTGACTAATCTGTGAACCTCCCGGCACAGCCTCAACCACTTCAGTTTGGAATAGTAATGAGGTTACTTCAGTAGAAGGACTGAGGCAGAACTGGTAGGAAAAGCACATTTTGAGAGCTTCTTTCATTTCCAACAGGTTAATAGTTACCAGAGTTTTAGAATCAGCAAGATCTAAAATGCAGCCCTTGGTGACATTTAGTCTGACTGATGAATGAAAGAAAATAAGTGAAAAAATGTATTTTAGTAATTATTATTTCACATTTAAAGCTTTTGCTTTTGAAAAAAAGGCCAGCAACCTAACCTTCTAATCATGACATAAGCTGACATCTCAATATAATACTCTAAATCAGACTTCAGAATAATAGCATTAGTGAGAAATGTGGGGAGGCCTAGTGCTTGTTACAAAAATACCTAAGGATCTTGCTTTTTTACTAGTGGAAAAATCACCTGCTGCTGTCATGGCATAACTGCGTAAGACACAGATTCAGGTACAAAGAGAGTAAAGTGATTCATAGATTCTCTCTCCTCTCATGAACAACAAAATCAAGAAAAAAACAAACAATACCCTCCACCGACCTCCTCGCCTCACTGCAAAACTGTCACAACCAAACAAGGAGATCAAATGTCATAATCGCCAAAAGGTCGAAGGAGGGAAAGTGACTCCTATCTTAGCCCCAGGGGTACCCAAACTCCTGAGAATGGCCCTTAACATTCCAAATTTACCAAGAAATACAAGAAGAGTGACATCCTTTTTGTCTCTTGATCTTAAGAAATGCCCTAAAATTAAAAATGGAGATGGAGATAAATAAAAAGGGAAGTGAACAGTCACACGCAGAAGCAAAGGCCACTGGATTCCACGCTGAATTGTGGGAACCAGCTAAAATGTATTACCCACGTTTCATTAAGTGGAGCAATCCCAAGCACAGAAAAGTAAAAGGAATAAAAACCAGTTCCTCTCAGAAAGATTGCACCCAATCCCAGAGGAACTCTCCCTTCCCCAGCCATGCCCGCAAGCTAGAGAGACGGGGGTAAGCACAACACCTGAGCCTTCTGACTACAGCTGGAGGACAAGACAAGTCTCAGGCAATGGCGGGAACAGGACCAAGGAGAATCTTGCACTGTCAGAGGAGGTAGGTAGTCTGCAGAGCAGTTCTCTTAAGCAGGAGTAAAGAAAAAGGAGCAAGATGTAAACCTGAAAATATACAAGAAAACACAGCATAAAAAGGAAGTTTAAAAAATTAATATCTCAGTTTCATAGAAACATACCCCAACAATCATTCCCAAGTGCATTCTCCAATAGAATAAAGTAGTAAGATTATTTAAAGCAAAAAAAAACCACAAAAAATATAAAACCTCTCAAATTCTAGCCAATGAGACTACAGAATCAAATATTAAGACATATGATAACCTAAGGAAACAAATTAAGAACTAAACTAAAATAATACCATTTAGAACTAATGAATACATTAGAAACAGCAACAAAGACAATAGACATAATTGAAAATTAAATTTGGGACACAGAAGAAAGTCTTAAGATAATCACAATAGACAATATGGAGGGAGAAAAATAAGACTAATGAAGACCAGGTAACAGATACAAACCAGGAAGCTGCTATTATGTTATAAAGAGAAAGTCCCTGCAGTTTTGTTGTGGGTTGAATTGCATCCCCTAGAAAGATATTTGTCCTACCCCCAGGCCCCTACTCCTGGACCTGTGCATATCACTATCTGTAAATAGGGTCTTTGCAGATTTAATCAAGTTAAGATAAGGTCATCCTCATTAGGCAGACCCTAATCCTATATGACCAGTGTCCTTTAAGAACAACTGAGACACTGAGAAGAGAAGGCCATGTGAAGACACAGAAACACACAGGGCAAGAGCCAAGTGAACATAGAAGCAGAGATTGAAGTGAAGTGTCTATAAACCAAGGACACCAAGAATTGCCAGCCTTCACCAGAAGCTGGGAGGGGGCATAGAATAGATTTCCCTCAAGTCCTCAGGCAGAATCACTACTGCTGATAGCCTGGTTTTGAGCAGCCTCCAGAACTGTGAGAGAATAAATTTCTGTTGCTTAAGCCACTCAATTCATGGTACTTTGTTATGGCCACAGTAGAAAACTAATACAAGTAGCAAATCCTACAAATGGGACAAAATAAATCATTTAAGTATGTATTAGCAGTAAGTTTTAAGTGAAATTAAGGAAATAGGAAAACTACAGATTGACAAGATATACCATGTTCTAGGAAACCTCAAAATAGCTGATTGACACCAAATCCTACTATAGTTAAACAACTAAACTTTAAGGGTAACAAAATTTAAAGCTTGCCAGCAGGAAAAGAACCCAGGGAATTTTTCTCCAAAAATATAATAAAGAAAAGAAAAAAAGTTTTTGATGCAATGATAAAATCCAGCCAATAAAGACAAATCAAATAGAGGTCTCAGCTACTCAGAAGCTCAGAGGAAACAACTTGGGGTGAACATTGAATCAATTTAAATATAGTACTAATAAAAAAACACTGAATAGGGAATTAGGACTAGGGAATAGAATAGAAATATAAGTAAAAATATTTTAAACAGTAGAAAATATATAAAAAAACAACTAAGAATATTTTGAGAGAAGGGCACAAGTCAATAATACTGGATATAATTAAAATATGAAGTTTAAAGGATAATCAGTCCAAATTGTTTAATGCCTTACCTCCTTTATCTTAACATTAAACATTGTTGACAAATAGTGGTGAAGTTCTACATGGGAGCCACTGAGCCAGGAATCCAACATGCATAGGACATGTCCCCTGCCTTCCAAGATTTGCAATCTTATGACAAAAATAATAAATCTGATATTTGAACACTTCATTAGATTTTTACATTGGCATTGTCATAGGTGGCTCACATCCTAGTATGAAATAGGTATTGATCAAGGTGTTCAAACATGTCTCATGGATTCCATACAACAGAGCTATAAGAAGGGAATATTATTATTCTCATGTTGACTTCACTTTCACTTGCATTTATTTTTGTTTGCTAAATCTATTAAGATTCAATTTAATAGTTTCCATGAAAGAAAGAAGAAAGAAGAAAGAGGAAGGGAGTCAGGAGGGAAACAATGGAATCCAGTTTCAGCGCACCTGTTGATTAACTGTGTGTGATGATATATTTTATGCCTCAAATTGACTGGGTTTGCCCTGAGAGCTGGCAAAACATTATTTCCGGGTGTGTTTGTGAGGGCTTCTTGGGAAAAGATTAGCATTTGAAACCATAGACTGAGTAAAGATATCACCCTCACCAATGCAGGTGGGCATCATCCAATCTATTGCTGGCCTGATAGAGCAAAAAAGCAGACGGGTAAATTTGCTGTTCCTGAGCTGAGACATCCTTCTGCTCTCGGACATTCATGCTCCTGATTCTCAAGCTCTGGGACTCAGGTGGGAATTTCCCACCTTGCTTCCCTGCCATTCTTAGGTATTTGGACTAGGACAGAATTACACTACTGAGTCTTCTGGTTCTCCAGCTTGTAGGAGCAGATTATGAGAATTTTCAGCCTCCATAACCACATGAGCCAATTCCAATAATTAGTTAACCTCTCCCTCCCCCTCTCCCTCTCTGTCTCTCTCTGTATGTGTGTATGTGTCTGTCTATAGGCATGCATACATATGGATGTATTCTATTGGTTCTGTTTCTTTGGAGAACTCTAGTACACTGTGCAACCTCAGACACAAGACTATTGTTCTGCATTAAATACCGGAGGGATGGTCCTAGTTCCTGCATCAGTTCTCCCTTTCTTCCTCTAATTACAGAACTCCTGGATTTTAGGTGAGCACATACAGAATAAGAACTATAATTCTCAGCCTGTTTGGCAGCTGAATATGATCACACAACTATGCCACAATCCAATGGCTTGTAAGTAAATTTTGTGTAATTTCTGGAAAGTGCCCTTAAAAGGAGATGGTATGTGTCCCTTTCATTCCCATCCCCACCCCTCCTGCTTAGAATATCAGTGTGATGACTGGAGTTTTTTCCTTCATGAGGATGTGGTTCTATTCTAAGGTGGCAGAAACAGAAAGCTGGAAGGAGCCTGGATCTCAGATGGTTCTACAGCAACCATATCAGCCCTGGCCTGCCTATATCTGGACTTAAAGGAGAAACAAATGCTGTTTTTTTTAAGTCACTAATTTTGCATTTCAGTTACAGCTAATTTCATTTTCACAGATGCAAATGATTTTCCTTTTTATTTAAAGCTTAGAAACTCTTTACCCATATTAAAACAATCACAAGGTAACTGTGGTTGAAACAGGATTAAGGGACAAACTGTGGTTGAAACAGGATATCTTACCAATGAGCAAGGTGAAGATTGGAGAAACAACCTACCGGCAAAGAGCAAAGCTCAGCTCTGAGATCCGAACATCTGCAGGTTCTGGCTGGAAAAACAAAATTGTCATGTTGGGCATGTTTCCCTGTTGACCCCGTATACTTTCCTCCCCTGTCTCCTCCTCAGCATGAGAAGGATAAAAGCAATTGTATCCCTCATCAAGTATGGAAAACTGACAAAATATTTTAATCATGCAAAAATGAAAAGGCCAACAAGACAATGGATGTCTCTTTCAAAAGCTGACATACAATTTTTGACCAAAGAGAAAAGGAGTAGTGGAGGGGAGGAGTCCGAGAGCAGCTACCAACCAATCCCGAGCCTCCTCCAGCTCCTGCCAGCTCCGCCTTCCGCCTGCCTCCGGAACATTTGTCTCCGGCCCCGTCTCTCTCCCCAGCTCCAAGCAGATGCTGGAAATTCAAGTGCCCATTAAACAAATAATCACAAAGATCAACACGGGAGCCACCGCGCTAGACACTGAGGAATCCACTCTGAGTAAAACATGGTCCCTGACTTCCAAGTCTGTAATTTTCTGACGAAACTAAGACCTATGATATTTGAACACTTTATTCGATGGTTTACATCAGTTTCATCATAGTGGCTCACATCCCACTATAGTGTGGACATTGTTTAAGGTGATTTGCATGAATATTCTGGGCTCCGTGCAATAGATTTCTAAGAAATGCGTATTATTATCATTTTAGATGAGGAGATCAGGCACAGTTTACCCAAGGCTACTCAGAAAGTTGCATACATTGTCTCATTTAAGTGTAGAAGACAGTCCTAGTTACTGGTACCTGTGTAATACCTTGAGTATTCTTATATTTGTTGTTGGCAAAGGTGTGAGGAAACAGACATACACAGACAAGTGTTGGGAGTGTTAACTGATACAACTTCAGTGGAAGAAATACAAAGCAAGATTTAGAGAGAGAAAATGACTTAAAGTCTCACAGGTATTAAAATTCAAATATGAGCCCATGTAAACTGAACTCCAGCTGAACTAAAATCTCACAATGTAACAAGTGCTGAGGGTAAGCAGAGGGCCCTGGGGGAGCAGCACCCAGGAAAGACACCTAAAGAAGTAGTAGGTGGCATTCATGAAAGGCTTCTTAATGGAAGGAGACATCCAAGCTGAACCCAAAAGGGTGAGTAGGTCCATGGTGGGGAAAGGCTTTCCTTCTGGGACAGCTAAGTGCAAATCCTGCAGGCAGATGAGAACTTGCCTCCTTGGGGGACGTTCTAGCCCCGTGATTGGAGGTTGGAGTGGGAGGGATGAAATGGAGAAAAATGTCACTGGAAATGGCATCTCTGTTTGTTGGCTTCTTAGTCTCCCTGCTAAAGCCAAACTTTCTCTAAAAATTTGCTCATCCTCCTGGCTTCTCTGACTTGGTTATTGTCTTAATAATTCAGGCGCTAAGTGTTAAAATCACCTCTGACATGTCCCTCTCCCTTGCTTTTGCATGCAAATCCTTACCACCGCTTGTTAAATTATCTGATATATATCCCTGTTACTCTCATTACCAAGCTTGGATGCACCGTGATTCACCTCAAGCCAAGACAGCAATACCCCACCAGCCTACGATTTTCAGCTCACTTTTTAAAAACCTGTTGTACTTCCACACACAAGGGCTGGTTGCCTGGAGAACCAGCCCTATGATTAGAAGGTTGGAACTTTTTGTCCCACCCCCTGACCTCTAGGGAGGGGAGAGGAGCTGGAGGTTGAATCTTCACCAATGATTAGGGAAGCTTCCTTAATAACCCAGAAAAGGACAGGGTTTGGAAAGCTTCTGGGTTGGTGAACTTGGGGAAGCTGGGGGAGAGTGATACGCCCTGTGAACGTGGAAGCTGCAGGCCCAGAGAACATGGAAGCTCCCCGTCCTTCCCCATACCTTGGCTTATGCATCTCTTCCATCTGGCTGTTCCTGAATTAAACCCTTTTATTAAACTGGTAATCTAGTAAGTAAAATGTTTCTCTTGAGTTCTGTGAACCACTCTAGCAAATTAACGGAACCCAAAGAAGGAATTGTTAGAACCTCTAATCTATAGCCAGTTGGCCAGAAGCTCAGGTGACAATCTGGAACTGGAACTGGTGTGGGAGGAGTGGCAGTCTTATAGGACTGAGCATTTAACCTGCGGAATCTGATACTCTTGTTGGGGGTTGAGTTCGTTTTCTCCAGTTCTTGTGCCTGTCGCAACAAAGAATTGACAACAGTGAAGTAGAAGGCAAGTTTTATTTGACTACACTCCAAGGGAGGAGTGGGCCAGAGACAAGGTAGGCAAAGGCAAGCTGCACACTGTGAGGCTTCTTTTTGTGGGCTTTTTGGCAGGACAGAGAAGTCCTTGACTGACAATCTTTAGCTTTGGAGGCCTGGTCTATCTGGTATAAAAGAAGCCGGGGGCTGCTCCGATGGTTTCTGTGCCTGTCCTTGGGTGTTTTATTTTCTCTTATCTGGGGAGAGTCTGTGCTTGGAGGCTTCTCATCCGAATATGTTGTTTTTTCTCATCTGGGGAATGTTTGGACATCCCCAGTAACTCCTAGTCCTTGAAACTTCAACTAATTAATAATGGTGAGTTTTTCTGGCTCTCTGGTTTTATCTGGTTAACTCTTTGAATCCCTTTTAGTGGGTTTTACTGACTTTATTCTCCTTCCACCTACTATGTCTCCCTGTCTACCTAACACTGGCTTTGAGCAGAAACTGTCAGAGTTGGGTTGAATCGTAGGATGCCCAGCTGGTGTTGGAGCCCTGCTGGGTGGTGTGGGAACACCCCTGCACTATGAGGAATCAGAACTGGCGACTAGAACCCTTACATGCTTTTTCCCTCCACTCCTACTTGTACAGGCTTCCCTCCACTCCCTTTTTTATTTTTCACTTCCTTGCAAGTCAGTCATGTTCCTTTCCAAATCCTCCATCTCCAAAGACCATCCCAGACTTCAGTGATCCCCTTACTGATAACCCAGGGAAGGGCAAGATGAGAGATGAGGAAAGGGAGGCGTGGAAGAGGCGGAAATTCCCAGGAGGTAGTATCAAAATACTTATCAGATAGAAGGCTACTGCATGGAGATTCTTGCAAGTATTTATTTCCCTGATCAAAAGGACCGGCACAAAATTCACAGAGACAGAAAGTAGATTAGAGTTTCCAAGGGCCAGAGAAGTGGGGGGAAGAATGGGGGTTACTGCTCAGTAGTTAGAGCTGCTATTTGGGGTGAATGAAAACACGTCAGAAATAGGTACAGCTGATGGCTGCACAATGTGAGTATTATTAATGCCACTGAATTGTGCACTTACAAATGGTTAAAATGGCAAATTTTATGTCACATACATTTTACCACAATTTTAAAAAAAGGAGAAGACTGACACATTCTTTGCTATTTTTGCCCCCATGGCCCCTTCTTTCTGCCGAGTACAGATAATGCTCATATTGGTGCAGGAGCCACCTTAGAAGCCTGAGGATGCAAGCCAGCGTATTAAAGATGGTAGAGCAGAAAGATAAACAGTACCAAGGTCCCTGTGTCTGCACAATGTGAGTATTATTAATGCCACTGAATTGTGCACTTACAAATGGTTAAAATGGCAAATTTTATGTCACATACATTTTACCACAATTTTAAAAAAAGGAGAAGACTGACACATTCTTTGCTATTTTTGCCCCCATGGCCCCTTCTTTCTGCCGAGTACAGATAATGCTCATATTGGTGCAGGAGCCACCTTAGAAGCCTGAGGATGCAAGCCAGCGTATTAAAGATGGTAGAGCAGAAAGATAAACAGTACCAAGGTCCCTGTGGGCAGGAGCAGCCTCACAGTCCCATACTGACTACCCCCCAGATTTCTTACTATGAGTGAAAATTAAAGTCCTCTTTATTTAGGGTACTCTGCAAGTTTTCGGTTACTGGCCATTGAATCCACTCCTGACTGATACAACTCCCCACTGCTCACTCTAGGAAATCAAGCACCTGCACATGGCAGTTAACACCCTTCAGTAAAGACCTTAGCTCCCTTTGCCAATATATGTCACCATTTTTTTTTCTTCAGGTGAACCTCAGACCCCAAGTTTTCCTTTCACAAAATGCTCACTTTTGCTCAAATGCCTTTGCTCATAACAGGTCCCTACTCATATGTCTTCCCCTACCCTCTCCTCTTGGCAATCCTTCAGCCCCACCTCTCCCAGAAACACTCCACTCCAGCAAGAAGCAAAGACTCTTGCTGAAATCCCAGCCCCCTCAGTATCCCTTTCATCACCAGGATCCAGTACTCTGGGGAGTCTGTTCAGGTCTACCTTCACACCACCGACTCCAGGAAGCCACCCCCGCGATGACCACTGGTCCCACCCTATTGCCAACCACACTTAGCTCTCATCCAGACAATCAAAGCCTCCAGCTGGCCTCTTTATTCTGTTTTTGCCTCCTTCCCTCCAGTCAATTTCCAGCACAGATGCCAGATAATCTTTTTAAAAATGTAAGTCTGATCATACCCCCCTGCTCAAACTGTCCAGATGTCTTCCTAATATATTAGAATAAAGTCCAAGCACCTTTCCTTGCTTGCCTACCATCCTTTTTATGGTCTAATCCCTATCTGCCCCTCCAAACTCAATTTTTACCCCTTTGCACTTGTTCAGTCTACTCTGACCATGCAAGCCTCCTTCTGCTCCTTGTCGAACAGAATGCCAACCTGATTCCAGCCTAAGACATTTGTTCTTGACTCTCCTTCTGCCTGGAATGATCTCCTCCAAATCTACACATTGCTGGTTCCCTGACTACTAAGAGATCTCTACTCAAATGGCACTGCCCCGGAGAGGCCTGCCCTGACCACTGTATCTCAAACAGATACCCACAACACGGCTCTCTCACATCTACTCTTCGTTTTTCTTCATAGCATTTCTCCCTTCCAGCCCTGGGTTTAAATCTCTTTTCATTTCCTTATTTACTGTCGGACTTCCGGCTAGAACTTCAGCTCCTCAGGGGAAGGGCTGGTTCTGGTTCTCCCTGTGACTCAGCATCCGCACCAGCACCAGGCACAGAGCACGCACGGCTCCTTTAAATCATCCTGTCTGGGT